GGGGTTTAGCGGTAGCAAACCGGAAAATAAGGCTGCCGAGGAGGCGGAAAAGGACACCGAGGAGTTTAGTTGATGCGGCTGCGGCGGTGCGCCTGCTGGTTGCAGCGAGCCCAACGCGAAACAAAGGGAAGTTCTCAACAACCCAAACGGCACCGAAGTGCCGGCTGCTAATCCTATCGAGGTACCTCTTATCGCCGAAGAGGTCCTTAAAAACCCAAGTCGCTTTAAAACAGTCGTTGACCCTACCGAGGCACTTCCTGCCGCGGATGACGGCGGGCCGGACGCGGCGCAAAGGGAGGAACCTTGTAGCGATCTAGATGGTGCCGAGCTGGCTAACGATTTCGAAGCGCTTCTTGCTGGCGAATCGGAGGGATACATCGGTGTAAGCGAGGCTAATAATCAAACGCGGTCTTTTCGTGGGTAAAAAGGGCGAATGTACATTTTTTTTAGGACCAGTCGATGGTCTTCTTTGGTTTTATTTTGGATAATATTTTATTATTTCTTTAACAATAATGTAACGGCCCAGGACAATTTACCGCATGCATGTACCTTATTTATTACAAGTCCCAGGGATCACAAACACTAGTGTGGTGGTCGACAAGGGGGGTAAGGGTACACAGCGTGCCACTGAATTTGTAGAGAGATCAATGTATGTTGATATCTTATCTGTGGGTGACGACTCTAGTGGGTTCTGGCAAATGGAGGTGCGGGTAGCGATACATCAATTTGGCGGTATTTTCTATGGTGGAAAATGTAGCTGGGTACGTAGTCTAATTAGGAAGGATCCACTGCACTAGTGTTTGTGATCCCTGGGACTTGTAGTATCGGGATCGAAACCACGTGGAGGCGTCCATCCATCACCGCCTTTATATGATGTGGGCTAAACACCAGCTTAGAACCCAGACAACCCAATCCATCATCTCGTCTCCTCGATCGTATTTTCTTGTACATTGGGGCCTCCGCCAGCGTCAGGCTGGAGCTGGCTCTCGTCCCTGAGTGTGGCGGAAAGACTCCTAGGCATCCTCCAAGCGACCCGCGTTCTCTCCACTCCTCTCGCAGGCCTCCCTTGCCAGTTCCGCGGGGTGCGGCCGTCGTCATCCTTCAGCTCCAGCAAGACGGACAGATCTGCGTCACGGCCGGACGCCTGGGCGGCAGCGGTGATCTGCTCGAGCACCTTTTACGTCTTGACAATGTGAATGCGGAGGCGCGGATCGCCAACGGCCGCGTGCAGGGCGGTCCAGCCCTTGTACACCGTGTCGGGTTGCCGCTGGAGACGGAGCAGGTCGTGTGCGTCGAGCCCCTTGAGCAGCGTCGTGATGGTTCTTGGGTGGCAGTGTTCAATGCCGAAGTGGAGCGGATACTCCTCAACAGTGCCATCCGAGGGAATCGCAGCGTCTGCCCCCTTGCGCAGGAGAATCTCCAGTAACTCATCGGTAGGCTCTTCTGGTGCGCTGCAGGCAGCGTAGAGCAGCGTCTTGCCGTCCAGCCGGAGGCCATTGACGTCGCCGCGGTATTGCTCCACGAGGCACTGGTACTTAGTCATGGGGAAAAGATTGGGTCTACATAAAAAAAGAGACAAATCTAATGTACCCTTGCTTAAAAAGTGCCAGCAATGCCGGCCATTGCTACCTGCGCAACATCCCCCTGCCGTACATCGACGACCTTGATACCTACGATGAGAAAACCGAGAAGGTGAAGCGATGTGCTACGCACTGGAAAGAAAGAGCAAGATTTTGCTGGTATGTCAAGGCGGTCGCCTCGGCCACTATTGTCGGACAGGTCGCCAAGCCCCCCAACACATCATCGGCTCCGCAGTCCTTCTCGCAGTCGGCGAACTTTTCCGCGGCCGTCACGGCGGAATCCAATTCTGCGCTGTCCACCACGACAATACCCGTCCAGCATGACCCCGCCGAGGTGGTTAAGCCGACGCTGCCCCCTAGCTGATATGCCTGAGCGCATGTTCTCGCCCAGCCTACTCAGGGAGGGCGGCGTGGTTTGCTGCTGAGCGTACGGAGGCCAGGTGTAAGAACCAAGGGTTTATTCATAAGGCAGGGTGTATGTAGTCAAGGCTCTGAAGCAGTACAGGTTGCGAACATGTAACTTGGCTGATGAACTGGAAAAGTCCGTCTGATTGCTTGTCTTGAGGGTTACTCAGGAGCTAACTTGGGCTGACTGATGCCTCAGCCTCAGTCAAGACTACCTGATTTACAAAGTAGGTTTTAGCGTTTTTGTACCTGTGGGTTTGCTCTCTCCTATTATGTCTGCTAGATATACCCTAGGAACCGGATGTTTTCAGATTTAGGAAAACACATTACTGGTTGTTTCGCAGTTAACCGGTCCTCCTCCTCCTCCTCTTCTTCTTCTTCTTCTTCTTCTTCTTCTTCTTCTTCTTCTTCTTCTTCTTCGTCGTTATCGCTGTCAACGGGCCCCGAATTTCCACCGCTATTGCTTACAGAGCCCTTTCCGAGCTCCTGCAATCTTTGTTCCAGCTTATCGGGGCAGAGCGTTTTGCAGAGGGTTGTTATGCTTTTATAAATCCTGTTTATTTAGCGATTAGCCGGCGCGCTTTACGACTGGTTAATAATAAATTGCGTAACTTACAGCTGTTTTAGGGTGAGCCCCGGGATATACAAATTATTGCCAATATTATATACCAGTAAATATAGGAGGTTTTTAGCATCCCAGTCATTTATTGCAGTAAAATATTATGCCGAGTTAACCGTATAACATTTTAAAAGGGGCCGTAATCCTAATGGTTCGGGCTTATAGCGCGTACCTGGCTCCGATGGGGGGATCGACTTCATGTAGTATCGGATATAAGTAAAGTTGCTTAGGCGATGGCGGGGCGCGCCGATCGCCCGTGTCGTACTCGTTGTACCCGAAAAACGAGCAAACGGTAAAAACGAACGCCTCCCCCGTTTTAGCGTCCATGGCCGTATTGCCGTCCCAGAAATCGCCGTGCACGAACGAGGGCTTGAGGGTGCGGCCCTCGGCCTGTAAGGGAAGCAGGAGCCGGGGCACGACCCGAGAGAGCGTTAGGTCGGCCACGACGCCGAGTTCGGGCCACTGTAGGACCGGCTTGGCGAGGTCGATGACGTGCCCGAGGTGGCTGGTGCAGATGCCGCACCAGGAGTCGTCCCAGAAGTCGATGGCTAAAGTAAAGCTGCGCAAAAAAAAGAATTCGCAGAGCTCAGCACAACAAAGTCTGGTCTCTACTTGGCAGGCCGAAGGTGGACCACCAGGATTTGACCAGGCTTCCGTGGTACTTCGCCTTAGTTTACAAGTTCGTCCCCAAAGGGGTCCGCCAAGACGATGTGGTCCGGTGACAAGACAACTTTTTCTACTCGGCGGGTTTTGGTTGTGCGCCATACAAAGAGAAATAGGAGGTCGTGCCTGCATCCAAATGCTTGTCGTACAGCAAATACATCAATTGGAACATACTTGGCCGATGGCCACCGCCCCATTCTTTGTCCCTGCCCTTCCTCCCTTTAGCTATGATTCCTGTGCTAATTAAGGTTCGTCGGTCGACCTATCGTAAAGCAAACACTTTTTCCATAAGGAGTCCTTGTTGAGACATTTGAAAAGCCTCGCCGCTCATGAGACCTTCCACGCACGATTCGCCAACAAATAGCCAATGGTCTCCCTGCTTTCTTAGACAATACGGCACATCGCCTCCCCCCAAGACGGCAACTGTATCTCCTGGGCGAGTATTTGATGGCCCGATGCCCATCTTCCCATCAGTCGTGACCAAAAATGCCCGATCAAACCCGTAGTTTCGTACTAGGCTTTTGTAGTAGTATGCGTTACCGCCCGTTGATAATGCTCGCAGACGCGCAAGCGCATCCCCGCCGCCAGCTTCTGCGCATATTGAAACCAAAGCTTCGTTGGCGACCAGGAGCTGGTAGACGTAAGCCATGGTGTCGGAAAGGTTCTGGTCCCAGCTTCGTCCCCCAAAGTCGTGCTGCTCGACGGTAGTGACCTTGGCGAACTGCTCCGCCCAGGAGAGGAGGGAAGTGTTACAAGGGGATCAATGACCGGCTTGGAGAGTGCTCAATGTATTGATAATTTCTCAAGGCCTCTAGGAAATGCTTAAGGAAGCAGAATCTCCCAGGAGCTCCTTGAGCGAAGGGCCTCTTTTATATAGGCCGTCTGAGAGACCGAGAGAGAGAGGGGTATGACCGGGTACGTGTCCCGGCGAAGGGAGCTACCCCTCTCGACCGGGCGCGTAGTACATGCGAGGTCCTTGTGATTCGTCCTGTTGGCCGTCCTAACGGCCCTCAATCGGCACCGGCTCAATCCCCGTGTGACACAATCCTCCCCTTCCTAAGGGCACGACCC